TCCATTCGATGTACATGCTCTGGCTTGGAATAAGGTGTTTCATCGTACGCTTTGTTTCTGCTCGGGCGCCATCTAAGAGAGAGTTCCTGCCAGCAACAAAACTATTCTATTTTACACTCTGCAAGGGCTGACAGAAAGCAAAAACAAAAACAAACAAACAAACGTAGTTACCCTTGACGCATATTTCAAAACGGAAACTCCAAATAGAAACAATGTAGATGTTATTTTCGAGTGGGCATTTGAGCAAGCGTTTCAGTTATTTTCTGTTCAGTTGAGTTAAGTTTATTTTATTCAGTGTGTGTGTGTATATAAAAGATTCATTTATAAAAAGCAAACAAACCAAAAGCGTTAAGCAACGAAATGCAGCGCGCGGCCAGAAGCAAGATGGCCAGCGGTTTGGGCAATGTTGCCCAAAAGGGCAGCAACAAGCGCATTGCCAGCGGTCAGCGCACGACGAGCCTAACCGGACACTGTGCCGCCAAGACGAGTGCGATCAAGCCAGCGCAGGCGGTGAGCCAGCGTCTGGCTGTCGAGGCAGCAAGAGCAGCTGCCGCCGCCCAGCAGCGCAGAAGCGCAGCGGCACGAACGTCGACAACAACAACAACAACGACAGCAGCAGCGGGAGCAGCAGGAGCAGCTATGCCGCCACGGCGCGGCAATACGGGCGTGGCCAGGCAAACGGCTCTGATCTATGGCCGCCGATATGCCCAGGTGCAGCCGCCGAAGGTGGCCGCAGCTGCTGCAGCCGTTCCCAAGGCGAACACTGAAGGCAAGCCGAAGGTGAGCCGGATCAAGAATCGCAGCTATGCGGTCTACGACAAACAGCAGGCGGGCAAGCGGCAGCAGCAGGCGCGTAAGAAGCCAACGGACATGGATCTGGAGCTGATCATTGGCCCAGTACAGGTGCTCACCCAGCCGCGCAGAGTCTACAATACGCAGAAGCGTTTCTTTGTGCCGTTGCAGGATCAGGTCTCGCCGCGCGACTTTCAGCGCCTGCATACCGCCGGCCAGCGTTACAAGCACAAGCTGCAGTGCAGCAGGATCGAGGAGGCGCGCCAGAAGGCCGAAATGACCGCATTGGTGGCTGCCACACGGCCCTTGTTGCCGCAATGGCTGCCGCTGGATGAACTGTTGCCGCCGCCGCCGCCGCCTCAATTTGCCGACGACAATGCCGATGATAATGTGTGGAAATATCGTATGCATCGCAACGATACGGTCACGCTGTGCAATTTTCCGACCTGGGAGAGCAAGCTATTAGTGCGCGAATATGCCGGACGGTTGCCCGTGAAGAGCCCATCGCCGTAGCGCCATCCCTTCTCCTACTCCTCCTCCTCACCCCACACCACGGTGTGGGTGTATTTGCGTGCGTGCGTGCGTGCGTGCGTTTGTGTAGGTCTCCCTTTCGAATCGTTTATTAGCTATACACATTTGAATATTGTCAGTCCGCTTGTAAATACCCTGTGTATTATGCGACACATAGCCTGTCTGTCCGTGCGAATCTCGGCCTGTAGCAGAGCTAGAGTTAGAGAATACCCTATGCTGGCGGGTCTTTGCTTAAAATACCCTCGTTCGACACTTTTGCTTGTGTTCATATTGCTTAACACAGACACCCACCCACACACACACACACACACACACACACACACACACACCACGTACATACATGCATATATATATATAGAGAGAGATAGATATATATATATATATACACACACATTACGCAAACGTGATCGAAATCGTTAACTGCCCTTTCTATCGCTAGATACGAAACAAGTCTAAACCGAGAGTTCAGCTTCAAGTCTGCAATCCTGGCAGTCCAGCAGCAGCACGACGTTAATATACTCCCCCATATATATATATAAATATATATATGTATGTGTATATATATATGCCACCCCCTAGATATATATATATATATCTATATATATACATATTTTTTTTAAATGGTTTTTGGAAGCGCGCATTCATTCAAAATTCTGGAGAGAACCAAGCGCAAGCAACAACAACACAACCAATATGACCCAAATCTTAATTATAATGCTAAACATGAAAAATTATCAATTTGACAAGTGGAGCAACAAAATTCTAACGATTATTTAGTTTATGTGTGTATATATATCTATATGTATACCACCATATATATATATATATATATATATATATATATGTAAATGTATATATATGTATATATATGCAGCGAATGTTTCAAATAAAAGTTTCGATAATGACCAAAAAGCGTGGCATTCATTTAAATCATATTCACACACACACTCGCAACACACACACAGACACACACACAGACACAGAGAGAGGCATATATATACTATTTATCGATTATATATCGATCCTTGCAGGAACACGAAATGTCGGACGAGCTAATTGTACAACATCAGGCTATCGATGATCTGCAACAGACCGAGGAAATGGTCGTTGAATTTCATCGCAGCGTGAACGCAACACTGGAGAATTTCCTAGCCGATTCGAAGGCCCTATATGATTTAACCAATTATGTGGATTATGATCAGGATGCGTATTGTAAGCGCGGCGAGACAATGTTCTCAACGCTCTTAGATATTGCCATACAATGCCGTGATATGATGGCCGAATATCGCACCAAATTGGCCAAGGAGGAGATGTTGTCCTGCAACTTTAAGCCCACAAATAAGCGTTAAACCAACCCCAGCAACAACAACAACAACAACAACCCCCAACAACAGCAACAACAACAACAACAACCCCCAACCACTATGCCAGCTATTTGGTATTTTTGCATTATTTTATTTTTTTTGTTGTCTTGAGCTTGTTCCGTTTCCTATCAACTGAATATTCACATATATATATATATATCTATCCAAAATCTTTTGTCATAAATACGCTGGCTGGCATATGTAGTTGATTTTTAGATAAACCAAACACACACCCACACACACAAACACACTCAAATACACACACTCATACACCACCCACACACTGTCAAAGCTCTCACAAATTGTTTGCTGCTTTTATTTTATTTTTTTTTTTTTAGAAAATTTTTACATTTTCATTTTGGGACATTTTTCAACTGCACAACAATAAAACAGAGGAACGAAGAAATTTTTAAAGTGTTCCCAGTAATATCGAATTTTTCATTGTTCCCATTATTTTTAAAAAAAAAAAGAAGAAGAAAATGAAAGACTACACGCATTTCGCAACACTGAACGCTGCAGCGAACAAGGACAGTCCGTCCTGTAACACTCTCTCTCTCTCTCACTTCCTCTTACTCTTTCTCTCTCTTTCTCATACACACACACGCGCATAGAAATTGAAAGCAACAAAAAAAAAACAATTTGCATACATATAAATATATGCACAGTTAATATAAAATTGGCATTAAAAAAAAAACAAAAAAAAAAAGAAAACAACAACAAAATTCAGCGATTTAGCTAAAAGAATGCGTTTTTTGTTAGTGTCAAAAGAAAAAGACATTTATTTTTATACATATAATAATATAAACATAATAATAATAATAATAATAATACTAAACATATTTTAAACATAATATGAGATTCCATTCAATTTCTTGCTGTCTGATTACAATTTACAACTATTTAATAATTACACACTGTATTTATTTAAAAACAACAAAAAAAAGGGCCACAAAAACTGTATTTAATTTGTATTAATTTATTAAAAATAATACCCGCACCAAAACCAATTTACGTATTGCTATATATAATATTTTCTACTCATTAAACATAAACATAAAATTAAACAATTTATTTTTTTTTTTTTTCAAACAATACTTTCGATTAACTGATTATTATTATAATACTATTTTTTTTTTTCTGTTTGTTTGTCTTAGTTTAGTTGTTGATTCAAGAAGATTTTCCAGTCGAACTTTTCTCGTTTTGTATCTATATAATTCTTTTTAAGCAAGCCTCAAAAGAAGGAAAAACAATTTTAAGTGCAGTTGAGATTGGAGATAAATGTTTTTTTGCATTTTCTTGTTAGCGTTTAAATTATATACTAATATTTATTTTGTATTTAATGCTTATCTAACAAAGACATAAAAGACACTAAAAACACACACACACACACACAAACAGCCGGAAAAAAAGCCTGTTCTTAAGAAAATTATAAAAATAAAATGAAAAAGAAAATGTTGTAGCTTAGCCTTAATGCACACGTGTGTGTGTGTGTGTGTGTGTGTGTGTGTGTGTGTGTGTGTGCATGCACTTGCATTTGCATATCTACACACACACACACACACACACACTGACACATGCGTATGCATGTGCTTCTCTTAAGATAATTAACCAAAATTCCCAAATGTTTTAAAGTTCTGTTATTAAATGCATTTCCCGAGAGCACTAAAAGATAACCCACAGAAAATGGGCTAGACAAGGCCTACTTACTATATATATATATACATATATTAAATAAATAACTAACCCTATTTTTTTGACCCAAATGCTAATTCAAAAGTAAACAATGTTTAAAACAAAAACAATTATTGCCGCTGGGCAGAGTGCTTCGATATTACGCAGTATAAACAAAAGTAAAATGACAAAACAAAAAAAGTAAACAAAATGTTAGGACTCTGAATCTAATAAATGTATTATTTAATATAAATATTAATTTATATTGTAATAAAACTGAGTATAAACAAATTTTGTTCTCGGGCATCGGGAATTGGTAATTATTCCAAGTGGCAATATTACTTTAACAGTGTTTTGAATAAGCCCGCTCAGCGTACTAGTGCTGCAAAGTGTTCAAATAGCCATCGATAGTTGGTTGCGTTATCGATGACAACAGCTTTTGTTGACTCACAAGCATTTCGTTTCTAATGTGCATAATTAATGCATTATAATTAAACAAGTGTTAATTAAAATATATCGCGTGCAATAAGTGTGCACACTATTGTTAATTTGTTATCAACAATGTGCAGTATTCAGCATTTTTCGATAAATGTGCGCATTTTGCTCTTTACCGCATACGGTCACACTGGTGCTGTGCAGTCGCAAGAAACCTTCGTTGTGTTTTGGTCTCGTCGCTACCGTCGTGTTGCGCGTTTCGTCGACTCTGCCGTGTTTATTTTATTTGCGTTTGCGTTTGCGTGCACAACAACAATAACGGCATCCAACGTTATTGTTATTAAATTGTATTAAGCTAATAGAAACAGTGTTCAACACAATCTCCTTTTTTTTTTGAAACACTTGTTTTTGTTTCCTGTGACCAGACAGCAAAAAATCATACGATTTGGCTATCAAAATATACAAATACTCAACCGAACAGCAGCACGGTGGGTGACACAAGTGCGTTTTGCGTTTGCGTTTAAATAGGGGTTGCAAATTTTTCCAACACAGGTGCGCCTGTGTATGTGTGCGTGTGTGTGTGTGTGTGTGAGTGTGTCTTAGAAATAGCGCATAACAAAAACAAACCGCAGTACCGACAGAGCCTGCCTTTTAATTGAATTGCTCGCAACATATTTATCTGAGCCCGCTGTCAAGACCGCACACCGTACAGCCCCCGCGCCCCGCCCCTCAACTGCGTGTGCCGCGTGCCATGCGTGACCTCGGCACCAAAATGGCCGAGCTAAAATTTGAGGCTCCATTGGCAAAGTTCGAGGAGACGGACGAGTGGGGTGGCTGCGATTTTATTTCCAATCAGAATGCGCTCAACGATACGCTAAATCTGAACCTGAGCTCTAATCGGAATCAAAAGGATGGCAACGCCAAGCAACAGCAGCAGGACAAGCTGCGTCTGCTCGAGGATGCGGTGCGTGATGCGCACATCAGCAAAAATGGCGGAGGAGGAGGAGGTGGAGGCGCCGGTGCCGGCAACATAAGCCCCAATTGCAATACGCACAATCTTGGCGAATTGGGCCTGGCCGATATGTCCGGTCCGGCCGGTGGCCAGGATAAGCGCGGCGCTGACAATGTGGACAACTTTACAGAGACTTTTGGCGGCAGTCTGGAGGATTTGGTGAATACGTTCGATGAGAAAATAACCAAATGCTTCGGCAACTACGAGGAGAACGTCGAGGAGCTGGCACCGGTTCAGGTCCGCAGCCAGGAGGAGATCATGAATGAATGCCAGTAAGTATGCGAATCTATTCACAGACTTGCGCCAAGCCCTAAGCTCGACTTAAGCGAGCACTTGAAAGCTTTGCGCTTAAGTCCAGCTTTCCAGCGGTTTTAACTGTGCTCGTTTATCGGCTGGAAGACAAGCTTTAAAAAGCTTTGAACCCAGCTCTGAGCTTTTAGTGAAGCTTGTAACTGGCGACGAAACTTTTTAAGCGCCTGGAACCTATTTTGGACATCCTGGAATAGATTTTGTCGAGCTTATGACTTTTATACCAAAAGCAATCGATTTTCCACTTGATCTAGCAACTATTTTACTTTGTTAGCTCTGCTTTCCAAGCTTTGAGTTTCCCTCCGACTCTCTGGCTTCCTTTTGATAACATCTATTTGTTCATTTTAGACCCTCTTTGAGCCCTTTTTTAACTTTGAGCTTTGCCTGCGGCTCGAAGCTTGGCTTTGAAAGCTTTAACGGTTCAATCTCTGGAACGGTTCAATTGTGAACCAGTTTTTTGTTTTTTTTATTTTAAAGTTACATAAAATGCATTGCGCGATGCTTTTTACAGCGCATGCGCCAGCTAAGCCACCCTGAGACTCAACCAGCAGCTCCTCCCCGCTCGGCAGACCGAACCAACCCTGGCGCCATATAACGACGTAATCCTGTCGCTGCCAGGCGGGTGGAAGCGATGGATGGAGGGGGGGGGGGGGGGTGGTGGGCTGGAGGGGGGCAGAGGCACATTGTTGGATCGATAAAAGATGACAACTGCCGCTGAGACAATTGCTGCATCTGAAGTGTGCTGCATCCCAATTGAAAGGCAACCCTTGACCAGGCGTCTCGCGGAAGCGCACCCTTAACAGCAGCCCCTTCCCCGTCAATGATAAACGCAATTGGCCCAATTGTCTCTCTGTACGCAATGGGCGGCAGGCGGGAAGTCGCAATCAGCGCTGTCAAGCAAAGCAATTCAAAAGCTGGAATTGGCTGCGTTTTCCATTGCGTAGATTATAAATCATGGCAACAATGAGCAGCGGCGCCGGCGGCGGCAGCGGCAGCGGCAGCAGCAGCAGCAGCGGCGTTGACCGCTGATAAAAGCACTTGAAAGTGCATTTGCCTGGAAAGTCAAGAGTTGCTTTGGAGAGCAGGAAGTGCAAGGAGCTTGGGGTGTGCGGGTGAGAAGGAAGAAGAGCGACAGAAGGAGAGTGAGAGCGTTGCCACTGTGCGCAAATTAAGCAAAATGTATATACGTATGTGTGTGAGTGTGTGTGCTGCTGTTGCTGTTCGCGCTGACATCAGCCAATAAATTTGATAATCGCTCGCAGCTTAACGAACCTCTCTCTGCTGCTCTCTGTGCGGCTGTGCGTGTGTCATAAACAATTATTGCATATGCACATATTCAAATTGTTTTCATAAATCTACATAGCATATTCATGACTGCAATTGATGAATAATGTGCGCTAATCGGAATGTTTGCTTAAGCACTTTCAAAAAGAAAAAAAAAAAAACAAATTTCATGTGCACTTGAGTTGGGCTATTCATGAAAGTGCGACTAAAAATTCGCACTCATACTCACACTGTAGATTGTTTGTTGTTGTTTTCGTACCGTATGGCAACATCCGAATGGGTGCTTGGCACGCTCTCGCTCTCTCTTCCGCTCTCTTTTTGCCCGCCTGCTTTTATCAGCTTCCCACGCCAGGTTAACATTGACGTTGAGAGCGAGCACTTAACACCCTTTACCCTCGCGCTCGCTCTGGCATGCGCTACGTGCATGATGGATGCACTGCTTTAATTGCTTTGCTTAGCGTCTTTGGTTGTCTCGCTCATATCGTTACGCACTGTTGTCGCTGATGCATCGAAATGCACCGCTGGGTTGCTGGTTGATGCTGCCGTCATCCTCATAACTGTATTTGTCAACGCTTTTGTTCTTTTGTTTTTGTTCTTGTTTACCTGCGCGTCAAATACGAGTCTGTCGCTTCAAGCAGCACTTTGTCAATATTTACGTTGCACATTACTACAAATATTCTCTCTTTCTCTCGCTCGTGCACGCTCTCATTTTGAACGAAGGTCGAGCATTATGTAGGTGTGTTTGTGTCTGCGTGTGCGTGCGTGCGCGTGTGTGTGTGTGTGTGTGCAGCAGCTCCATCTGCGTGTGTGACATTTGACGAAGGTCTTCCAAGTCGAGTATTTGCTGCGTAGAAAGCTTCTTCTTCTTTTACCTCGCAGCGCTGCTGCAGTTTTACATGTTCTTCTTCTGCTGTTGTTGTTGTAAATTCTCTGCTGGAACATGTTTAACGCTTTGGTAACTTAACGAAAACAACAACAACAACAACTATGGCAACGGCAACTGCAACATTTGCAAACCGGCAAACTTTTTTTTTTTCGTCACAGTAGCCGCAACAACAAAAACAACGGCAATTACGAAAACACTGAGCGAATAGAATGGCACAGGAAACATCATGGGAAATGCATTTCTGTGCAAACTAATCGAGTGTTTTTTTTCTTCTTATTGGTTACATATAAATGCAATGTTCTTGGCTGAAGGGGGGTGGGGGGTTTGGGTCTTATAATACTGTTATAAATGTTTAACACACAGCAGGAGACTTCGACAAACTGTTATATGCATATGTAATGTTCTTACTGTTATAACATGTGTAAAGCACAGCAGGAGACTTCGATGAACTGTTATATAGCCAAGTCTTCTGTCTGTTCTACGTATATCATTTAGCTGTATATCAATTAGCGGAATATATGAAAAGCCTTTCGGACTATCAAGCTATCTGGTCCAAACTAGACTTTTATTGGTGCTAATATGCCTCTCACATTCTCTCTCTCTCTCTCTCGCTCTCTCTAGCTGTATGTCTGTTAAGGGTATTCACTCTTCGGCGTGCTGATGGGTTTTTGTTTCTATTTTTTTTTTATTGATTTGCGGCACTTTGGATTAAACCTGAGCTGCATATGATATATATGAGTAGCCGCATACCAAATTTGCTGTCCCCAGCGCTTTTATAGATCCATTTTAACCGAGTGTACGGCTTTCATGTGTGGCTGTTGTTATTATTGTTGTTGCATGTGGCGGCGACATTAAAACGACCGCATTTGTGCCACTTAAAGGCTGACCATATGTGCCATGTCCGCTGTCCGCTGTCCGCTGTCCGCATATGGCCTGACCCGTCAGTTGGTGAACAGTTGTGGATCCGCTTTCCGGTTCGCCAGCGATTTGCATTCCACCAATCCCCATCTTGCAGCGCGCCCTTAGCCATGTTGACATAGTCAGCTTTTATTTTCTTTGCATTTCCTTCAATTTTGCAATGCCTGCAATTGTCGCTGTTGCAGTTGACAGAAGCTTTGCTTGGAACTGCAGCTGGAACTGGAACTGGAGCTGGAAGTGCAGCTGGAGCTGGAACGTACAGCTGGCGACCTACTTTGCGCCTAAGTTCAATGTCCTGTCGCCAAATCCTGCCTGCAGCTCAGCTCTTCCCAAAAAGCTGAAACCCGTTTTGACCAAATCGCTGGCAAGAAGCGCCGTAAATACGAGCTGCCATTTCTGGCTATCGCATGATGTGTGGGCCATTAATTTTGACAGCCAGTCACCATAAATATGCAACAACTCGCTAAATTCTGTGTCGGACAAATACTTTTGGCTGGTTGTCAAATGTTTTGCTTGTCTTACATGTTCGTCTAGTTGGTTATCCGCATGTTAACATTTACCAAGCAGTTTATCTCCATAAATATGCCATGCTTCTGCGTGTTCTGTGTTGTCAGAAGGCTGTCGAACAAACTTAACAATTACTCTTGTCATGATGTTTTATCTGATGGTTTTTCTCTTTTCCCTAGCAAGTTGGCCGGCGCACATTTAACAGGCAGTTAAGCTTCATGAATATGCAGCAAGACTTTAATAATTCCATTGTGAATAGGCTGTCTTTTAAGCTTGACAAATTACTTGGCCATGTTGTCAAATGTGTTGCGTTCTCTCCATCTGCCTGTTAATACTTATCATGCAGTTAAGCTTCAGCAACAATTATGTCACGTGTCTTTTCTTGTTGCTATTTATATTGTGATTAACTCATCCATGTGTTAACTTTTACCAGGCAGTTAAGTGAAAGTTTGCTGCTTAAATAGGCTGCCTTTTATATTTGACCTCTACTTTAACTTATTGTCAAATGTGTTGTTCATATTCTACCCAACTGTGCTGCTATTAAATATTTACCAGGCGGTTTAGCTGCCAGCTAAACATGTTTTGGTCAGTTTAAACTATTCTTTCGCCAATTAAAACCTAAAAGTAGAAAAAATAACGGTTGAAATACTTTGTCCGAGTCCAGTCCGACAAATTCGCTGTTAAATTAGCAATAAGTTGCTTACTTTAACCCCAGGTCATATTTTTAGACAAGTTAAGAGTCCTTATTGAAGTCGCTTGCCTCGTGACTGGATATCGAATTACGTTCGGTTTAATCAATTATGTAAGGTGGCTGCTCCTAACCAACTACTATAAATACTCAATTGAGTGCTTGTATAACACCGAGGGGTTGGGGTAGGGGCTCAGGGCTTCGCAGGAAATGGCGGCTGATGTATCCTTGAAAGCAACACGGAGCCTGCCTGACTCGGCGTTGTGACAGCTAAAACAATAAAATAAAATTATATAAATATAGACGGGGGTAGTTTTGCAATAGCGACAACAGCAGCAATATCCAACCGCCCTGAACGCCAAATCCCGCCGCCTGCTTACTGAGGGTCGAATGAGTCATGCTAACATGGCGTATGCGTGTTACGAAAACAACGGAAGGAGGGGGAGGGGGATGCGAGGGTGGCTGGTTGTGGCAGTGGGTGAGCATTCAGGCAGGATTCGAAAGGCCTGCCATTAGACCCCAAGCGGGTTTTGGATTTCAAGTTGTTGTTGTTATTTGGGGTTGCTTGAAAAGCATTTCCTGTCCAAGCGCAAAATTCGCCAAAGGACATTAACCTCTTGCACTGTGCACTGTGCACTGTTGCAGCTAATTGTCCTGCCCCATCCCACGATACACATAAG